TTTTTTTTGGTTATAGTTGTTTGTCATTGTTTTTTGGCAGGCCTGGGCTGGGTTCGAGCCCGCCAGCTCCGGTTTATGTGGCTGGCACCCTAGCCACTGAGCTACAGGTGCCAAGCTGCAATATTTTTATTGAGTAAAATTTTCACAAGTAAAGGAATCTAATTTTGCATCACAAAAGGAATTAAATTTTTTTCTTTTTTTTTAGAGACAGGATCTTGCTCTGTCACTGAGGCTGGAGCACAGAGGCAAGATTATAAGTCACTGCAGCCTCTATCCAGGGCTCCAGGGATTGTTGCACCTCAGTTTCTTGAATAGCTGGAACTAGAGGCACATGCCAACACATCTGCCTAATTTAAATTTTGTTGTAGAGACAGGATCTTTCTCTGTTGCTCAGGCTTGTCTCAAACTCCTGGCCTCAAGTAAACCTCCCGCCCTTAGCTTCCCAGAGCGCTAAGATTGCAGGTGTTAGCCACTGTGCCTAGCTGGGTCCATTTTATAAAAGTCTTATATTTGTAGATTACCAAAGCAAAATTTTTGAAAGATATAACTTTACCAGAAAGCAATTTGTATTTGCTAACTCTTAGAATACATTATAATTATACAGTATTATTTATACTAGAGCTGAAATGTAAATTAATTGATTAAATGGTTCATTAAAGATAAAATATCTGGTGTGGCGCCTGTGGTTCAAAAGAGTAAGACGCTGGCCCCATATGCCAGAGGTGGCGGGTTCAAGCCTGGCCCCTGCAAAAAACTGCAAAAACAAACAAAAAAAAAAAACCCAGATAAAATATCTGTGTAAATAAAAAGACTATTGGTTGATATTGCTTATTTTTGTCAGATTCATACCAGAACTAAGAGCTAAATTACTACAGGAAGCAAAAGTCAATTCATTCATCAAGCCAAAAGAAAATTGTAAAGAAAATGAACTTATGAGAGATGAAAGAAAAACAATGTATACCAATACACTGCTAAGTAGCTCAGTAGGGGGAAAGGTAAGAAGTTTGGTTTTACTTCAGCCAGTATAATATTATAGTTACATTATGGTTACTCTAAGGACAAAAATAACTGTTCTCACAACGTAGATTTTGGATGTATCTATTCCAGGAAACAGAAAAAGAGAAAAGGCCCAAGGATATCAAAGTCAGATTTACTAAAGTCAGAGGAGGAAAAGGAGATATCTCAGAACCGAAAAAGACAGAGTATGAAAGTCGATATTGTCAACAAGATGCAATTGAAAATGCTCATGCTATATCTGAAGATATAAAACCTGTATTCATTGAACCACCAAACCCTGTCAATCCTAGCACTAATTCTAATGATATGAAAGAAAATCTGCATTCTGGAGGTTGTATGACAATGCCACCCATCAATCTAACTAGTGGTAATCTGATGGCTGCAAATCTCAGTTCAACTCTCCCTCACTCTAATATAAGGTGAGCTGAAAGAGACAAGAGATGTAAGTAATACAATGTTCCAGTATAATGGTGTTTCAAAGAATCACATTCATAGTGTCTCTATGAAACCTGAATTTGAGCAAGGTATATTGAAATTATAATTATATAATGGGTCATTTACTGGTGCTTTTTAAATTTTAAACTGGGTGCTTCTTATAAATGCTGTAGAAGAAATTAACTTTTTTTTTTTGAGAGTCTCATTCAGTCACTCTGGGGTTGAGTGCCCTGGCATCATAGCTCACAGCGACCTCAAACACTTGGGCTCAACCGATTCTCTTGTCTCAGCCTCCTGAACACGTGCCCTGCACAACACGCAGCTATTTTTAGATAAGGTGTCTCATTTTCCTCAGGCTGGTCTTGAACTACTAAGCTCAGGTGATACACCTGCCTTGGCCTCCCAGAGCACTAGGATCACAGGCATGAGCCATTGTGCCTGGCCAAAGAAATTGATATTTTCTTGGCCATATAGATTAAATTTTCACTCATGTCTTTTGGTAAAACCTCATTAAAAAAGATACCCTTGGAAAAATGTCTTCCCTTCTGAAGAGAAAAAAGCTGCTATTATCTAAGTTCTAGTATAGATGTGTTTTTAACAAAGTAATCTTTATTTTTACATCATAGCAAATTCTCTAAGTATAAGAAGGATAGACAAAAATAATTGTGCATAGTCAAATAGCCCTTTAAGATCAAATATTTTGAGAGGAAAACAGCATATTGGGCCAGTTTTAGATTTTAGCCTTCCATATAGATTAAGAAAATGGTCCTATGGTCTTACTGATCAAGGGCAGTGTGATAGATATTGAGGGTCTGTTTAGCAAGGCATAGGGCTACTTCTTATTTTTTTTTTTTTTTTGAGACAGTCTCATTATGTTGCCCTCGGTAGAGTGCCGTGGTATCACAGCTCACGGCAACCTCAAACTTTTGGGCGTAAGCAATTCTCTTGCCTCAGCCTACACTACAGGTTCCGGCCACAATGCCCAGCTATTTTTGTTGTTGTTGTTGCAGTTGTCATTGTTGTTTAGCTGGCCTAGGTTGGGTTTGAACCCACCAGCCTGGGTATATGTGGCTGACACCCTACCCACTGAGCTACAGGTGCTGCCCATAGGGCCACTTCTATTTCTTTCTTTTTTTTTTTAAGACAGAGTCTCATTTGTTGCCCTCGGTAGAATGCTGTGGCATCACAGCTCACATCAACCTCAAACTCTTGGGCTCAAGGATTCTCTTGCCTCAGCCTCCTGAGTAGCTGGGATTACAGGCGCCTGCCACAATGCCCAGCTATTTTTAGAGACGGGGTCTCCCTCTTGCTCAGGCTGGTCTCGAACCTGTGAATCAGGCAGTCTACCTGCCTCGATCTCCCAGAGTTCTAGGATTACAGGTGTGAGCCACTGCGCCTGGCCAGCCACTTCTAAATTTAAGAAGACTACTGTGATTTTAAGTGAGGAAGGAGGTTAGGTTTATTAGCCCAAGGACATTTTAGTACAGTGGTTCTCAACCTTCCTAATGCCACGACCCTTTAATTCAGTTCCTCATGTGGTGGTGATCCCCAACCACAGAGGAACTGTATTAAAGGGTCGTGGCATTAGGAAGGTTGAGAACCACTGTTAGCAGACTGATGTGGGCTTAGGTTGTGAAACCTAGTAGTCTTCAGAGGCAGGCAATGGACATGTCTGTGTCAGTAAAAGGTATAGCAGTAGTTCAGTTGTTCTTGAGGTGACCCCAATGTAATTCCACAATGTAATGTGTAAGAGTAGGTGAATGATTAAGTACATTAGAGTACATTCATACAGTAAGATACTTACACATTACATTATGGAATTACACTGAGGTGTCAGTAACCATGGTTTTAAGTCATTCTTGGACAGCAAGATTATAAACTGAGAAACCCAGTAGTTAAGAGACCTAAGTTCAGAATAGATAAAAGAGAGCAAATAGGCCAGCAGGAGTTCCCCACATGGTTATCACCACTGATGTTAGCTATGCAATAGGGGTTTTCTACCTATTACCTCTCTCCTTAGAGCAATTGGAACTCAAGGACTGATAATGGCAATTTCGGCATTCAACATTCAAACAATAGACTTCCGTATTCACTCTTGAAACTAAAGCAAAGGAATTTCTAGGAAGTTCTAATAACTTCTTACCCATTTTTAAATAATAGGTTAACTGAAAGAGCAAAAAAGAGACGTACTTCTTCGCAATCAATTGGACAAGCTATATATAATGGCAGGCAAGAGGATGCAGGTCCCACTCAAGTAAGGCAAAAATTTAGTCATTAAAATATGGCCTCTTTTAACATTACCTCCCTTTTCCTTTTCTCTATCTTTGGGGAATTAACATTTAAAAAATGTGCTTTTAGTTTCTTTTGTTTCTTCCTAAGATTAAAATAGGCCATCATTTCCTTAAAGCTTGCACAATTTTAATCTTTTCCATATCTTAATTTGTGTACTCTGACTTGGGCAGAATAAGTAAAGATTTTCACCCTTAAAAATTACAAAAATTGGCTCGGCGCCTGTGGCTCAAGCTGCTAAGGCGCCAGCCACATACACCTAAGGTGGCGGGTTCGAATCCCCAGCCCAGGCCCTCCAAACAACAATGATGGCTGCAACCAAAAAATGGCCAGGCATTGTGGTGGGCGCCTATAGTCCCAGCTACTTGGGAGGCTGAAGCAGGAGACTCGCTTGAGCCCAGGAGTTGGAGGTTGCTGTGAGCGTGATGCCATGGCACTCTACCCAGGGGGATAGCTTGAGGCTCCGTCTCAAAAAAAAAAAAAAAATTACAAAAATTTCTGGTTTTTCACTTCCAAAAAAATGTTTTAATACCTGGCTTTATGCATTAAAAACAATAACCAAATAAACACTTTCTCTGTTTTTTTTTTTTTTGGCAGTTCTTGGCCAGGGTGGGTTTGAACCCACCACCTCCGGCGTATGGGGCCAGTGCCCTATTCCTTTGAGTCACAGGCACCGCCCTTGATAGAGCATTTATGTCTCATATTGTTAATGATTTTCAGTCTACTTGTTTTATCAATTATTGAAGGAGTAATATTGAATCTTTAACTATAATTGTGGATTTGTCTGTTTCCTTTAATTTCTGTCAGTAGTTAACCTTATGTAGTTTGGAGTTCTGTTGTTGGTTCCTATATGTTGAGCCCTACACACTTCCTTTCACTGGAAAAAATAACGACTGAAGATCATCCCCCCATTTTTTACATAGGAAAGTGATTTATTCAAAATGGAAGCAAAGGCTTGGTGCCCGTAGCTCACTGGTTAGGGTGCCAGCCACATACTCGGGGGCTGGTGGGCTCAAACCCAGCCCAGGCCTGCTAAACGACAATAATAACAACTACAACAACAACAAAAATAGCTGGGCGTTATGGTGGGCGCCTGTAGTCCCAGCTACTTGGGAGGCTGAGGCAAGAGAATTGCTTAAGCCTAAGAGTTTGAGGTTGCTGTAAGCTGAGATGCCATGGCACTCCACCAAGGGCAACATAGTGAGACTCTGTCTCAAACAAACAACAACAACAACAACAACAAAATGGAAGCACAGTGTTATTTATAATAATAAAAAATAACACAAACCTATCCAAGAGTAGGTGAATGTTTAAGTACATTAGGGTACATTTATACAGTAAGATACTTATAGATTACATTGTGAAAGAGTGTTCATTGACCAAGAAAGATTTTAGTGATTTGTTGTCAAATAAACAAAAATAGGTAACACAAAAGGTTTTCAAGATGCTGGGTATATAAGTAATTTTTTTCCCCTTGGGTTTTTCCTAATATCCATTAAATACATCAGTTAGATATATTTATATAGACAAAGAAGTTATTGTGACCTGTAGTCCCAGCTACTCAGGAAGCTGAGGCAAGAGAATCGCCTAAGCCCAGAGGTTGCTGGGAGCTGTGACTTCATGGCACTCTAATAAGGGCAACAAAGTGAGACTCTGTCTCTAAAAAAAAAAAAACCAAAAAAACTGAACCAGTTTGTTCAAAGTCAGAGTGCAGTGATTAGTATTAAATATTAACATTTAGTATTGTGGTTCTCATGGTCAAGACTATTATTCTCAGAGAATTAAATGTGGTAAAAATGTCTCCTCTCTGAAACTTTTATTAGAGTTTGATTTGTTGATATGTTTAATGACATTCTTCAGAAGTATTAAAATAGTTATTATGCTTACCTTATACCATCCAAATGACTAGCAATTCTGGGTTTGTCATTCTACAAATAGTTACACATACATCTTCAAATGAATTCTTGTCTGTTTGTTTAGAGCCAAATGGAAAAGGGTATATTTAATGAGCGAACAGGTCAAAGTGATCAAATGGCAAATGAGAACAAAAGGAAGCTGAATTTTTCCAGAACTGACAGGAAAGAATTCCATTTTCCAGAATTGCCTTTTACAATACAGTCAAAGGATATTAAAGGAATGGAAGGTATACATTTGTTGCATAGCTTTACAAATCTCTGGATATCATCAGCAAGATGTTTTATAATATAATGTGCATTTTATCATGTGATTTAGGTAGAAAAAAGTAAATTGGTGAGAAAAACATTTTCAGCTGATGAGATATTTTTCCCCATCATCAAATAAGGAGTAAGACTTAAAAGAGATAATCTTAAAGAGGAGTTAAGACAGCTTCAAAGAGTCGATTTTTCATTACTTCAGTGTTGTTGAAATGTTAAAACAATATTTGAGGAAGATGGTTTTGGTTCAGTATATGACCAGGAGGAAATTGCATTCATATTTTTCTCCATGACATTTGCTTATATAATAGCAGAAATTTGGGGGAGCGCCCATAGTTCAGTGAGTAGGGCACCGGCCACATACACATAGGCTGGCAGGTTCGAACCCAGCCCAGGCCAGCTAAACAGCAGTGACAGCTGCAACAACAACAAAATAGCCGGCATTGCGGCGGGCACCTGTGGTCCCAGCTACTTGGGAGGCTGAGGCAAGAGAATCTTAAGCCCAAGAGTTTGAGGTTGCTATGAGCTGTGATACCACAGCACTCTGCCAGCAGTGACATGATGAGACTCTGTCTCAAAAAAAAAAAAAAAAAAAAAGCAGGAATTTTACATATGCTCTGAACATTCCAGGATTTAGTAAATAAGATTTATAAATTTAGAATTTACTTTAGTCTTAAATTTGAGAATTACTTAAAAATGAAACTCATGTATATCTTAAATAAATGTTCTTATGTTTCTTTGAAGAATAGTGACACCTTGTGAAAAGTTAATATAATAGCAAGAATATACTAATTCTCTTCTAATTCTGTACTATTCTCTTAAGAGAAATTATCTGTTCTACTTAGCATTCATATTGAGAATAATAAAACCAAATAAAGTCAGTGTTTTCTTTCAATACTTTGTAGGCTATTTATAAAGTTATAAAGCAAATAATTTACCATTAAAACTCAAGAAATTATTTAGTTCTTTTGTAATAAATTGAGAAAGTGATGTTAGTAGACATCACAATTTCCAGTTGAAGTTCTTGAAAAGTAAAATTTCAAGGTAGAAATAACAAATTTTCATTGTTTTACATAATTTTATAAAAGCTAAACAGACAAAAGTGTTGAAAAGGGATTCAAAGAAAACAGATTCATCTAAAATACCAACTTTACTTAATATGGATCAAAATCAAGAAAAACAGGAGGTAAAACTTTTTTCATTTATAGTTTTTACTAAACAATGTTGTTTAGAGCCCTTGACTCAGTATATAAGTTTAGCTATTATTATTGAAAATCTATATACAAATTCAAAATTCTATAATTTTTAAACCCTAGAAACATTTATATTTCCTTAGATAACCAATTACTAAAAGTTTCTAAAAGTTATTTTTGGGGGGATAGTAAATACCAGCCCTCATTTGAATATCAAATGATTAAAATGCTTGGTACTCAGAGAAAATAGTATCTGTGTTATGTGTGTTGTCAAACATTGGGCAGGTAAGCCATCCCAGTGAAAATGGATGATGGGATAAACATAGGGCATATGGCCATGAGGATATATGTATTTGTCTTTAGACTCTTTCTTCCTTCTTGTTTTATCTCCAGTTTATTTCCCTATTTCTGCTATCTACCTACTGTCCTATTTTCACGAATATTCACTCTCAAGCTAGCTCTCAAGGTAATTTTACTGAAGTGTCCCCAACAGCTACCTACCAGAGAGATTCTTGAATTTTACTCAGAAATCATGAAGCCTTTAACATACAAATGAATACTCCCTAAAGGTACTCTTTTTAAGGGAAAGAGATCGTGGTCACCCCCACCCCCCTGAATTAAATCATATAGATGGCTTCCTATTTTGGATTTGTGATGTTATCTCTGTAAGTGATTTATCAATGCCATGACCTCTGCTTTTAAATTAAATTGATTATAGTTTTATTCATGATAAAAAATAGCACATACTTATTAAGGACATGTGAAGAAACTAAAAATATAGAAAAGCTGATCTGAAACTGTAAGAAGGCATTTTAACAAGGCTACTCAATCTCTACAACATTTGGATAAGAGGGTTATCAGACACTGTTAGAAGTATTATCACTGTGATATTTAGGGCTATGCCTTAGTCTTGGCCTAGAACTTGTTAAGAATGCCACAGTTCACTTTGCAGAAAGGAGATATTGTAGAACAAGCAAGCCATTAGTGATCATCTTTTAGTTCCTTATAAAAAGCAATAAAGTGGCTTTACATTTTTTAATTTGAGTGACTTACTCATGTAACAACATGTTGTACAGCGCACCATTTGCATATTTTTGAATGCTTGGGTGAATTAGGTCTCCTGAGCTTGGGCAGTCTAGAAATGTGACCCATGTGTTTAATCCCATTGTCCTATGAGAGCCCCCAGGAAATTTCATTTCAATACAGGAAAAAAGAAACTCTTGAGACAGTTTTGACATTTTTAGGATAAGTAAATGAGGAGGAAAACTCTCTTCTTGCTCATATAATGAAGAATTCCTGAAAAGATGACCTTTTATAAGAATAATTTTGAAACAAGCAGTAGTTATTGGAAATAACCAGAAATTGACAGTGTTGGTTATAGCTTCTTTGTACTGCTTATTCAAATGCGGTTCTGACAAGTGACCGAAATTGCCTATAAGACAAGTTCAAATGCTTTCAACAAATTATTGTCAGAGTTTAAAAAATGTCTTAAATTTTGAGTCTGGATTATATTTTAAACATGAGAGAATATGATATTCTTATGTTTTTAAAAACATAAGATAGGGAGGGAATAGCCACTTATTTGTTCTATTGTTGGCCCAGGCATTGACTTTTTTTTTTTTTTTTTTGAGACAGAGTCTCACTTTGTTACCCTCAGTAGTGTGCTGTAGTGTCATAGCTCACAGCAACTTCAGACTCTTGGGTTCAAGTGATCCTTTTGCCTCAGCCTCCCAAATAGCTGGGACTACAGGTGCCAGTATTAATGCCTGGCTACTTTGGTTTTTTTTTAAGACACAAGGTCTTGCTCTTGCTCAGACTGGTCTTGAACTCCTGAGCTTAGGCAATCCACCTGCCTTGGCCTCCCAGAGTGGTAGGATAACAGAGGTGAGCGGCCATACCCAGCCCATTGACTGATTTTTTGAATTATCTAGTCAGATCCAAGCACTTCCCAGTTTTACATTAAACTCTTTCAGGTATCTTAGAAGTATATTGAAATAGTGCATATGTGCATTGACTAAGCTCTATGACCAGATAGAAACTCTAATTACTGTGAACGAATGATTTAGACTAAAGAGAAGATTCTCCATAAAGGACACTTTTAGTTCTGTTGGATGATGATAAAGAGAAATACTCTGGTAAATAATGTCCCTGTACCTTATAAAGCACCCCTCAGGGGCAAAGTACAAGTATTTATCCCTGGCTGTATTTCCTCAGCCAAAGACTGACCATTTCCTCAATTAAGGTCCTGTTTCTATTTACTTTTTAGAATACAGGAAATGCACAAACTGAAAGGAAGAAGAACCTGCCAGATGTAGAGTAGAAAATGCAGCAGCTGAAAATTCAGGGAATCCCAGAAACACTGTATGGTTTAAAAAAAATCCTTTTTATTAATGTTACATACACAAAAATGCTGACTAGAGAATTCTACAGATATATCATAAATTCTGTATAGTTATGTGTCTATTTTTAAATTTATTAATCCTTAAGGTATTCATGTTTTCTTAATTTGAAAATTAATTTATAAAAACTGCTTGACTGATACATTCTAATAAAACTACAGTTTATATTTCATCAAATACTTTTGATTTGATCATCTATTATTTCAGTTCTGTTTTGATTAGTGGTCATTCTTAGCTTTGATTCAAAGCTTTATAATTACAAAAAGGAAAGTTTCTAAATGTGTAATGAAGTTAGATCCTATTGTCTGGAAGCACCAAACATTTCTGAGCAAGCAAGTTTACTTGATAAACATGAAATATGGGTTTGGTTTCACACTGAACATTCTGGAGCAGCATTTAAACATATCATGGAGGCTATTTAAAAGGACGAAATTTGAACAAGATATTGAAACAAATCTTCTGGTTTGACTAGCATATTTATCATTTAGTAGTTTACAGATTATTTAACATTAATACAGTTGAGGTTTTGGCAGCATATGTTAATATTTATGGTCTTACCCTTGGTTCTTAATAGTTTGGTTTCTAATTTTAGGGTGGAGATGGCCATTGTGAGGGGAAGAATTTGAAGAGGAACAGATTTTTTTTCTGGTAGTGTTTTTTCTTTTAAATCTTAAAAATGCAAACTGCCTACTCTTCCCTTCTTATTTTACAGACAATAAAAGTGTAACACGAACTGTTAAGACAGCCTATGGTCTCCATTAGCATCATCCAACTTTTTTTTTATAATTGAAACATTTACTGTTTCCTTCTTCTTCCTTCCAAAACTCTGTTAATGTGATGCTTTGGTTTGAAATTATAAAGTCATCTCCTCTTTGCCTGCTTCTGTCCTTGCCACTACTACTTGAGTAGGTAGTATATCCTGTCACTGAGTAGGTAGCATATCCTGTCACATGACACCCACTGCACTTACATTGATTTCTTCCTTCTGATAGTCATATAATCTTGAGTCACTTGCCTCCTAAAACACTCAGGCTTCCTGAAGTAAGTTCTTATTGAAATATCTGACCCCCAGCTTGGCGCCTATAGCTCATCAGCTAGGGCACCAGCCACATACACTGGAGATGGTGGGTTCGAATCCAAGCCAGGCCTACCAAGTAACAATGACAACTACAACCATAAAATAGTTGGGTGTTGTGATGGGTGCCTGTAGTCCCAACTATTTGGGAGGTTGAGGCAAGAGAATCTCTTAAACCCAAGAGTTTGAGGTTGCTGTGTGAGCTGTGATGCCACAGCACTCTACCCAGGGTGATAGCTTGAGACTCTTGTCTCAAAAAAAAAAAAAAAAAAAAAGGAAAAAAATATCTGACCTTAACTACATGATTAAAAATACTATGTTGTGGGTGGTGCCTATGGCCCAGTGAGTAAGGCGCCGGCCCCATATGCCAGAGATGGTGGGTTCAAACCCGACCCCGGCCAAGAACTAAAAAAAAAAGTGTGTTGTGTTGGTCAGCAATAAAGGCATTTATAAGATTTGTAAGTTTAATAGCAGAGATTATTATAACATAATACAGGGTTTAAAAATTAAACTCATGTGAGCCCAGGAGTTTGAGGTTGCTGTGAGCTATGATGCTATAGCACTCTACTCAGGGTGACAGAGTGAGACTCTGTCTCAAAACAAAACAACCCACCCCCCCACATTTACTAGCTTCCCTTGCAGTTAGGTCCAGGCCACTGAAATATACTTGAAAGTGTTGTATAAAAGTTC